ATTTTWAATTGGGAGGTGGGATCTGGGAGGGGATGAGAAAAGAGGACAACATGCTTACACGCAGATTTACAAACAGAACCTCCCTGTAACATTCCAGCATTACTGTTTYGGAATGGCATTAGGCACGTGTCAAAGAGGATGTCAGGCACGAGCTGTTCCCAAAATCCAAGAGCCTTTGCTCAGGCGATGGTCTCTGTCAGAGCAGGGGAGCAGCATGCCCTGTCAGCATGTCCCAGCTGTGCCAGAGACACAGGGAGTTCCACTGCCAAGGCTCTCAGCAGCATCAGCAGGATCAAATTCACTTGGATATCAAAGTTACTCCAGCTGATTATCCTAAAGGTGCGTCGCTTCCCAGAAGCAATAGAAGCAGAGACTATCAGACCATATATTACTGTGAAACAACAGTATGTGACCTAATTCTTTAATTAGGAATGGGTTCAATTGCCCAGAGAGGATGAGGGAAGGTTCAGAAATCATTAGTTCACTGAGGTTTCTTTTCCCAACAAAAGGATGCTGGTATTTAGTTGCTACAGAACAGTGGGTTCTGAGACAAAGGGTCTACAGCCACAGCCAAAATCCCTGTTCTCTGGGTTTCAAGCCTATACCAAAGACCCTACTTTACTCACTCCTTACTCCTACCCTGTCTGCTTCAAACCCATTTGGATGAGCAGACAATTCGAACTGTAACACGAACTGTAACACTTCACTTAAACACCCCGTTACACTCCACATAGTAAACAACAACCCCATGGAGCAACTCCTCAGCTCCCAGATGAGGCAGGTTCTCCAGACACAAACTCTCTCCAGGGAAGCTCTGAAGCACCCAGCACCTCCTCGAAGGCAAACCACACCAGCCCAGCCARACACCTGAGGAGATGAACAATACCACAGCCTCCTCCTTTCCCAAAGTGCTGCTCCCATTCCCCAGGCAGCTCCACTTCTGAGTCACCACCTCCGTGTAAATCTCCTCRGAGCAGGTGCGCTCTTGCATCAGCTCCTGGGGGGCTGCTGGTGCCTCCAAGGACCAAGTGTGGTCAAAGCCACACCATTCTGCACACTSCATATGCGGCCAACACAGAGCACCCAGGAGCTCCCGATTCCCTCAGTTCCCTGCTACAGGCAAAACTCATCACCACCTGCTCCTGCCCTGGGCTGATGGATGATGCCGGGTCTGAGCCCATGGGGAGGTTACTGTGGACCGAGGGAGGGAAGGATGACAGATTGAAACCCACCGCAGGACCCGCTCCCCGCCAGGCCGTGCTACACTGTAACTGCAGGAAATGCACCGCGCCACTCCTTGGCTCTTAATTACGGTCTTGTGACACCATAGTTAATGGACTGTCATRGGCTCCATTAGGAACCTCGACGCCGGCAGGAGGTGGATCAGCCAACCTGGCCGCTCCCGGTACAACCATCGAGCCAGAGCGGCTCTGGGCTGGGAATCAGGCTCCAGTTCTTTTGTTACAGCCCCCTGCTTCCTCTGGGAACGGCTTGGTCCTTGTGGCAGCCGGGGAAAGGAGGGCAGCCCTGCCCTGCGAGAGGGATCGCTTGGGAAGTGTCCGGCTGCGCATCCAGAGATTACATCAGACACCAACCCCTCTGCCCACATTCTCCTCTAGATTTGGGGCATTCAAGAGCTGAGGAGGCCTCTGAGCTGCCTGCCACGCGATGGGGAAAAAACAAAGGGAAAAAAAAAAAAAAAAAAAAAAAAAAAAAAAAAAAAAAAAAAAAAAACAAAGGAAAAAGCAAACAACCCCTCCCTGCCTGCCAGCTCGACGCTGGGGTACGGCCCTCGGTGGTCCCCGCGGGATGCGGGTGACAGCGATGGGGGGCGGGAGATGACAGCGATAGGGGGATGACAGCGATGGGGGTCCTGCGCCCCAGTACCCCCCGCCCCAGTCCCCCCTTACCGTTGCTGTAGGCGTAGGGGGACTCGGAGGCGCCGTCCTGCAGGCTCTCCAGGATCTCCCCCTTCCCTACGTCGCTGTCGCCCACCAGCAGGAACTTGAGCAGGTAATCGTAGCTCTTCACCGGGCTGCCCTGGGTGCCCATCCTGCCTCTCATCGGCGGGGCGGCCCGGCCCGCATCCTCCGCCCGCCAGCCTCGGGCTGCGGCCTCTGCCCCGCCGCTGCTCACCGCCAGCCGCGCATCTTCCGCCGGGGCCGCGCTGGGACCTGCGGCGGAGGCGGAGGAGGAGGAGGCGGAGGAAGGGCCCGGCCCGGCCCCGCAGCGCCCCCGCCGCTGACACGGCCCCGCTCCGCCCTCCCACCCGCACAAAGCGCCACCGCCCCGCCGGGTCCCGCGGCCCGAGCCCGAGCTCGCTCCGCCCCGCCGGGCCGCAGCACCGCAACGGATCAGCCTCAGCTCCGGCCCCGCCGCCCACCTCAGCCGGGCCGGCCCCACCRCCCACCTCAGACGGTACGGGCCGGGACGGGCCGCCCCCACCCCACAGATCCGCCGCGTCCGCCCGGACCCAGGCGGCGCCTCGGCCCGCTCCTGCTGCTCTCATAGGCTGAGCTGCGCGTCAGTCAGGGCTGGCCACGCCTCTTCTGTGATTTGCCCCCTTCCATAGGCTAATTTACATGTCAATCAAAAACGCCCAGCCCCCCCAGCGCTCAGAGGGCGGGGCCAGCGGACGGCTCTCCTGCTGAGGACTACAGCTCCCAGCGTGCCTTGCGGGGAGCGGGGCATGATGGGATAGCGAGTCTTGCTGGGGGGGGGGGCAGCCGGCGGGGGGAGGGGAACCGGGATTGGGGAATCGGGATTGGGGAACCGGGATTGGGGAACCGGGATTGGGGGAACCCGGGATTGGGGAACCGGGACTGGGGGAACCGGGATTGGGAGAACCGGGATTGGGGGAACCCGGGATTGGGGAATCGGGATTGGGGAACCGGGAT